CCCCCCCCCCTCCCCACATACACACACGGAAGCAGTGATACCATTCGATATGTCGATATGTACTTATACATCGCAAGCACACCAGGCAGGCATTATTCAACATTACCAATTGGATGGACGGTATCAAGGTTTTTTCTATCATATATGGTAATACTACCAAGGACTGCCAAGGAATACATGTGATATGCAGTGTAGTATTGTATACCGTATTGATACTCGTAATACTCACAGGTAGTCTTCGTACAGCATGATTGATGACCGGCATCTTCCTGCTGGCTGCAGGATCATCAACACTACCTACTCTTTCCCGTAATACTCTTTCCCGTAATCATACAATGCCAAGCTGCCAGACCTACCCTAGCAGCAGAAAAGGAAGTCGGGTGGAAGCATTGGAACATCTGCCATCCATGCACAGCGCACGTGTCGTCGGTGGAACGTCCGTTGGGAAAGTCTGCTTGAGGAACCCCAGGCCATCAACGAGTGCGATGTAGAAGAGAGTTAAGAGGTGAGGAGGTGCTCGTAGAAGCATGGAGTAGCGGTCCTGGCCTCGTCTAGATAGGACGCATACCCAAGACACACATCAGAATCGGACCCCGCATGAGAGATATTGGAAGCATAAGAAGATGTATCAATGTAAAATATATATGTCTGCATCATGAGCCGGGACGAAAATCAATTCTTTTCACCGGAACCATCTAGGTCCTCCGTTGGAGGCGTTTTGGGGGGTGGGGTAATCAAGAAGAAAGAAAGAAAAAGACACCAATTTTCCTTGCGCCAGAGTATGATAGAAAAGTCACGAGAAAGCCCGCCATGCATCATGATGGTCGCAACCACTCGATAGGAGGCACCACCACTGACTAGCATGAGGCTTCCAGAAGGGGGAGGGTAAGAGAAGCGCGCTGCTCACGATGACATCTGAGGCGACGCCAAATCATGAAGTGTGTATAGAGCATGAGGGTTTTTCTCTTCTCAACATGATCGGTGCCGCGGAGGACGAGTAGAGAACGGCCGAAAAGTTTTAAGACGACTTGGCAGACGAGGAAGAGCTCCCGACAGACTCGGCGAGTCCGGAGAGAGCAGCCTTCTTGCGCTCACTGGAGTGCGGGGGGGGGGGGGGGGGGGGAGGCATGTTAGTCTTGCAGTCAGAGTCTCCTCCATCTCTCTCGTGCGAAGGTGGGTGGAGGAGAAGGATGACGAGAATAGGGAAGGCATACTAGGCAGAGCGGTCCTGGAGGACACAGTCGTAAGACTTGCCACCGGTCTTGATGTGAAACTTGATTCCCTTGTTGTCGCCCAGGGAATTGGGGTTACCGCCGGCGGCGGCAGGAGCAGCGGCCTGAGCAGATTCGGGCATCTTGATGGTGATGATCTGAGAAGGAGGATAGAATAAGTGTATATGGCGGGAGGGGGGGAGAGAGAGAGAGAGAGGAGAGAGAGATATATATATGTAGCAGATGATGATATTTCGTGAGATATAGTAGAGAGAGAGAGAGGGAAGGGCTCGATATGTATTATGAGAAACGGTGGGTAGAATTATAAGGGGAAGGATGGATCAGGGGTCCAGAAGAGAGGAAGGAGCGAGATTAAATAAGAAAAAGGGAAGGGGAAAGAAAAGAAAACCAAAACCCCCCTCCCCCCCCCCAAAAAAAAAGGGAATAGTCGGTCGTACTAAAATCAATTACTTACACAAGCAACACACAATCACGATACCAACAAAGTGGCCCACTGGACCCCTTGGATCCGTCCGTACCCATCGCGTCTTCGCTCTATTTGAGCGAGGCCGATTGGAGACCCCGGGGATGTGGGACGCTGGGTGAGAGGGAAGGGAAGGTAAAGGGGGGGAGGGGAGTGGGAGCGGACGGGGCGGCGACGGCGGCTCTGCCGGCATCCAACTTTGGTGGTAATATCACCATTGGTAGCCTGTGGGTAAGATAGTACTTCGAGCCCTTTGGCAGTATTGATGCCTGTGGTATTATTGAGGTACCGATAGTAGAATAAAACAAAGCGTGTTAGTAGCCATAGTTGACACCACGGCGTACTCTCGTACAGCAGAATATAGAATCTGTGCATCATTCATTCCCCACGCCCCGTCCCACGCTCCTGAACCAACCACATGCCTGCTGATAGAAACAAAGAAAGAGAGAGAGAGAGAGAGAGAGAAAAGGAGAGGGGCGCTACTTCTTGTTTTAATTCTTAATCTTTTGATTTTTAATTCTTCCTCTATGCTTGTCCGAACTTGCTCAACTGGCTTTGCTGGTGGAACCAACCGCCAAGGTGAGCCATTTTCCAGTTCCGTCAACCATGTACGAGCAGTATATGTACACTTGGCTAGTCGTATTACCCGAGTTAGACGCACACACCATCTACGGCATTACGGTGCCGTCCGTAAATCCCCAAACAAACACTAGTATTACCGTATCCAGACTCCTAGAGACAAAGGATAGAACCTGACTACCCCGAGTATCTTTGCTCTCGTATTCGACCCGGACTCCTGCAGCTTCTGCATACCATCAGATACTCTTGGTATTCGCACCTCTCTCTGTGCGAGCCGGATATTACATGGGAATATGGGAATGGCCGGTTGAGTGAGAACCTGCACTGTAATATGGGCACTGTATCACTCCACCCTACGGAGTGGTGGTAGCTGCGTGCGGCCTGTATTGATAGCCTGCAATACGTCGCCGAATCACGGAAGATCCAAGCCCCCAACCCCGTCCGACTGTACAGTCTCTCTCTCTCTCTCTCTCTCTCTCTCTCACTCGCTCGCTAGCAATGTGACAATAATGAGCCACTCTGAACGGCAGTCAGGTTCATGCTCCGACCCAGATGAGCTACGAGCAATGGGGGAAAAGGGAGGAGGTGATGAAGCGTAGCCTTATGCAGATCTCGCGGCCTAAACACAAACCACGCACCTTCATTACGACTTTGCACCTACGGACTGAAACCCCGAATGCCGCCGACGCCGCCACCCACGGCGCAGTGACGGTTCCCGCCAATTCTCCCGTGACGTCAGCCTGGGTCCGGTCTGGGTCTGGGGTTCTAAGTCGTCGACCGACTCAACCACCAACCAAGCATTCTTGTAGTCGTAGGAGTCGTACTAGTGTACATTCATTGTAGTGCTAGCAGTAGTCGAAAGGAAACCCTCTTACGAATCCTGGCGCGTTGCGACGCACTTCCCGTACGGCTACGTATATATGCATGATGCAGCTAGTATTGTCAACTCATACCGTTATGTTTTTCCGTAAAGCGTAAGGACATCTCTCCCCGCCCCACATGCCAGCCTGTGACGATTCCTTCCAGAAGAATCGGTACGTATCTCTCTCTCTCCCCCCTCCCCCCCTCCCCCCCCCACACACACACACACACATGCTTCTCTGCCTCACACTCTCTCTCCCCTTCAGAGTCTGCCTGCGTGTGTACATGACAGAGCATCGGCCCGCCCTCTCTGTCTTGCCTCGGTTCTGCTAGGGGATTGTTCTTATTTTTAGGCTCTCTTTGTTACCCTTTTCCTGCTCCTGCCTCGACTAGCTATTACGCCTTTATCGTGGGAACCCGCGCAAACTCCACTCCATACCCGCCCACACCCCCCCCCCCCCCCMMAAAAAAAAAAAAAAAAAAAAAAAAAAAACATGGAGTCAAACCCCAGCTTCTGACGGGAGGGCGGCGAGCTGAATTTGAATTTCCCTGCGAGGCCGTAATGCGGGAGGAGGGTATGGTGAGGAGGAAGAAGAAGAAGCGGTGGGCAGCATCACCCATCTCGGTCGAGCGGTAGGCAACAGTCGGTCTGACCTCGTTTCTTTTTTTCTTCTTCCCCCCTTGGTCACGTTCTCCTTTGTTTCCTCTTCTGCTGCCTTTTTTCCCCCCTTTTCTCTCTGTCTTTTCAACACTCACCGGCTATCCATGATGCGCATGACATCATCCTCATCATCACCGGTACCGCCGCCGCCGCCGCCGCCGCCGCCGCCCCTACTGGCCAGCTCACTACGAACCTTGCTTCTGGTGACGACATCTCCGTCCACCAACGAGGGCATGTCCCCCCTAGCCTTGACCAGTATACCCTCCACGCTCCGCAGGGCGACCACGAGGAACCCCAGCTCCTCGCGGTCCACGTCAAACACCTCCCACCAGGGGCACTGAGGCATCTTGGCCGACAGGTCGCGCGCGGCGCAGTACACGGCCGCCGTGGCCAGCGCGTGGGGCTGGTGCGTGAGGTAGAGCATCTGCGGGGACACGAGGGCCGTGTTGAGGTGCTGCACCGTCCGGAGGGATACGGCGCGGCGCCAGCGCTTGCCGTCTTTCGATTCCTTGTCGTCGTCGTCGCCGGACAGGAAATCGAGCGTCTGAAGGTACGTCATGGCCAGGGCGTGCGGAAGCGACACGTGCGTGTCGAACGAGAGGGCTCGCATGATGCGCACCTCTAGGCGGAGCAGACGTTTCTGGAAGTCGTAGTATTCGCTTTCGGTCTGGTAGAAGTCGTCCCCGGCGTCGTCCGCGGTCTGGTCCTGGTCGCGCCCGGCGAATAGTAGTCTTTTGGATTTGTGTGATGTGAGGTAGGCGTATACGTTCGACACGTCGCGTAGCGATCGTGGTATGGGGCCCATCTTGGCTACCACGTAGAGTGCTGCCGCCGAGATGTCCTGTTATTCTATGTCAGATTCCGTGTATTCAAGGTGCCCCAAGTAGTCGGAGAGAGAGAGAGAGACCCCCCCCCCCCCCGGGGGGGGGTTGGCTTTGGCGTAGAGAAGGAAGGATAAATACACTAAACTCGGTGGCCATAGGCGACTCGATGAGCCAGTATCGCGCCAGCACGACACACGCCTGCGCCGTCACCGACTGCGGCAGCTCCAGCAGCAGACCGGCCGCCTGCGTGAGGCACTGCGTCGACGAGAAGACGACATCCTGCAGGTCCTGCGGCATGGACCACAGGGTTGACCTGTTCAGGAGCTGCGCCGGCGTCGCGAGGGGGTTGACCAAGTGCGCCATGTCGTGCGCGCGTGTTGGTGTCGGTGTCGGTGTCGATGGTCTGTGGGAAGGGAAAATGTCCAGGTTGAAGTTCAGCTCAATCGGATCTTGATCGTTGTCTTGTCGGCGGCTTACCCTATACCTTACACCACATACTTCCTGCTGGCGACAACACACGATGACCCGCAGACGTGGATACCGTGGTCTCTACCTACATATACGTCCTGGGCCGGTATGCGTGTGTCTGGCTGATTGATTGTTCGGAGGGAAAGCTATATATTTATGAAGCTATCTACGAAGCTATATAGGTACAGCTGAGTATATGGCAGCATCCGGGGAGGGGGAGGGGCTGCTTAGTCAGACAATCTGGGTCCGATGGTAAAGATAGTCCTATGAACGAATCAGTCATTCTAGGTCATATGCGCGTATCGTGAAGGATCCTCTACAGCTGAACGGGAGTAGTACGGAGTAGTAGTATTGCTTAACAATAAAAGCAATCGACTGTCTTTCAGTGTCCTCGACCGGAAGATGGTATGGTCAATCTCCAAGGCCAAGACTCGACCCTCGAGGCCTAGTCACTGACAAAAGCTAAACCCAATTTGGATCACCCTCTGCCCCTCTACAAACCTGAACCTCATCCATTCCATCTCACCGGTGACATGACATCTCATTCATACAAATATTCATCTTACCCTTTTTTCTTCTCCTTTTTCATTATACTCATCTCAAACACACTGCACAACATACCAACTACACAGTATCTCCATATCTCAGCACACACAATCACGCACACACACTCACATATATACACCCACAAAATGGCTTCAGTGGCTCCGTCACCCGGCGACGAGAAACCCTCGTTTGACCTGAACCTCCAACACGGCCACAAGGACCTCGTACAGGCCGTAGCATTCAACACGTATGGTGACCGGTGCGCAACAGGCTCGGTAGACGGCAAGATCCGCGTATTCAACCGACACCGCGACGGAACCTGGCGTCTATGCGACACCTGGAGTGCTCACGCTGGTGAGGTTCTCGAGGTGTGTTCTTTCTTCTTGTCTTCCCTCTCCCTCTTCATTCCTCCCCCTCTCACCCTCTGACCGTCACTCGCTCCCTTCCTCTCGTACTCTTGTACTGACCCAGGAAAAATCACACACACACACACACACACATCAGCTCCAATGGCTCCCAGCAACAGTGTACCCCAATCTCCTCGCCTCCCTAGGGATAGAAGGCTGGTTCCGTCTGTGGGCCGAAGACCCGTCAGCCGCGCCGGGACGGCGATTCAGCGCAGGCGGGGGGGGCTCGCGGCTGACCTCGTCGGCATCAGCGTCGGCGTCGGCGTCGGCGTCGGCGTCGGCATCAGCATCGGCATCGGCATCGGCATCGGCACCGGCACCGGCATCTGCATCGGCATCGGCGTCCCGGCCGGCCTTTGGTACGCGCGCGGGCAGCGGCAAGGCTCCCTACCGCTCCTTCAGCATGCGACACGTCGACGACGGCGCAGCGCGGCACACGTACCTCGCCCTCCTCGCGGCCGACGGCCGGCTGACCGTCCTGGAGAACGACCAGCCCGAGAATCTGAGCGAGTATACGCCCGTGGACGAGTTCGCCGTGTGCGCGCGCCCCCCGCGCGGCGAGGAGGTCTCGTTCCGCGTGCGCTTCGACCCGAACCCGGAGCCGTGCTACGCCGCCCTGCGCGCCGGCGTGCCCTCCGATGCCCTTGGCCTGGCCGTCGCGGCCATGGACTCGCTGAGGGTCTACCGGTCCCGCGACGTCGTCACTGTCAGCTACGGCGTCCAGTCCGTCCGCAAGGAGTTCTACCTCGCCGTCGACATCCCCGGAGGCCCCGGCGCCGACCACCGCGGCCTCATCCGCGACGTCGCCTGGGCCCCCGGCAACATAAGGGGTTACGACACCGTTGCTACGGCCTGCCAAGACGGCTTCGCCCGCGTCTTCCGCATAGACACCCCCGCTTCCGCCGACCCGGCCGCCACGCCGCCCTCCTGGTCAGAGGCTGCCATCCGCGCCGCGTTCCCCCCCACAGCAGACACCGCCGTCACCATCGACGACGATGACGACAAGAACAATAACAACAACAACAACAACAACAGCAATGACAATAACAATGACAACAACAATCACAGCAGCAACAACAACGACAATGAAAACGACAACAGCAACAACAGCAACAACAATGACAATAACAATGACAACAGCAATGATAATAACAATGACAACAACCATCACAGCAGTAACAACAATGACAACGAAAACGACAACAGCAACAATGAAAGCAGCAACAACAACGGCAACAGCAACAGCAACAACGAAAGCAACAGCAGCAACAACGAAAGTAACAACAGCAACAACAACAACAACAACAGTAGCCACCAGCACGTCAATCATTTCTTCCTTTCCCACGCCCACGCCCACGCCCATGATCATCATCACAACAACAACAACAACAACAACAACAACAACAACAACAGCAACAGCAACAGCAACAGCAACAGCAGCATAGCCGTCGAAGCCCATCACCGTCACCGCCCTTCCTCCACCCTGAGCGCGAGCTTAGCAAACTCCCACGCCAGCAAGGATCGCCTCTGGACCGGCCAGCCCGGCCAGGTCAAGCACCAGTCTCGCCTAGTGTCCAAGCTAGGCAGCTCTAGTCGCCACCCCGTATGGCGCGTAGGCTTCGACGACGACGGTCATATCCTAGGTACCACCGGCGACGACGGGAAGCTGCTGTGCTATCGACAGACCCCCGACGGTTCCTGGGTCAAGAGTTCGGAGCTGGCCATGGTGAAGACTAGGATGGCGGCGCCTTGAAATTCTTCTTTCTCTACATCTCGACTTGTTTTATTCCAACAAATTTTTTTTTTTCAAAAAAAAAAAAAAGAAGCTGAATGTGGGGGGCTTCTTTTTTCTGCTTCTGTCCTTGCCCACATACATACACCTACACACGCAACTATACCAGTCACAAGTCACACACTAAAAGCCCCAACTCAGAAATAACCAAAAAAAAAAGTGAGCGGAATGATATACGATTTATAGTCGTGCACTTCAATACACATAGGCATGTGCAGACACTAATCTAGCTCAATCGGGTAATGAACAAGGCCGGACAATCTTTCTACCTGTGCGTTTACCTGCCTGCTGCTGCTCCTGTCTCTTCCGTCTCCTTCGTAATAGTAATTTTTTTTCTTGTATGCAAACTCGACGCCAACGGCCAAGAACTCTCAGAATATCACAGTGTACCCTCCCCCAAAACGCCGTCATGAAAAGGAGGCAAAGAGAGAGAAAAAAGAGAAAAGAAAAAAAAAGAAAAAAAAAAAAGACAAGGTGAAAGAAGGGAAGAAGGGAAGCAAAAAAAAGGAAATGGACATTTGCGTGTCGGGGTGAGAGGGTATCCTGACCACTCAGCCTGCTACACTTTTTTTCCGTCCCGAATCTAGGCAGCGTCTAGGCAGCGTCTAGGCAGCGTCGGCACTGGCGACGGGCTGGACAACCTTAGTGACCTGGCTACCAGCACGGACGATGCGCTGACCGGCCGAGTCATTGACGTAGGTGACGTCCTTGTTCTCAAACTGGGCACGCTTCCAGATCTCGACCTCGCATCCGCCGCGGAGGACACCGACGCGCATGGTGGAGAGGAGGTTGTGAGCGGCGTTGGAGTGGAGGTAGACGCCGCCGTTGAAGATGCTGGTGGCATCCTTGCCGATGGCCGAGTTGATGAGGGCCTTGCCACCGGGGTGGTCCTTGATGAAGTCGCCGACGTCGTGGATGACACCGGCGATGACGGTGAGGGCCTTTCCGTCCTTGCGGGACTGCTCGACAAAGTCGTCCCAGCCGATGACGGGGAGCTGCTCGAGGGGCGTGCCCCAGTCGAGCTTGGAGCGCTTCTGGTCGAGCTTCTTCTGGAGCTGCTGGACGCGGCCCTTCTCGATCTCGTTGGAGCGGAACTGCTTGAGGTCGTAGGCGAGGCCGAGGTACTTCCACAGGGTGATGGACCACTTGGTGGGGTCGTACTGCCACCACTCGATGGCGTTGCGGTAGTCCGAGGGGAACTCGTGGTGGAAGTTGTGGTAGCCCTCGCCGAGGGTGACGAGGGCGGTGATGACGTGGTCGCGGGGTGAGTTGCGGTCGTCAAAGGGCTGGTCACCGAGCCAGTGGGCGAGCGAGTTGACGCAGAAGGTGGCCTGCTGGACGAACCAGACGCGCAGGATACCGGCGTAGACGAAGCCGCCGACCCAGTCGTTCCAGCCCAGGCCGCAGACGAGGGTGGGGAAGACGAGCGTCATGAAGATGACTGACTTGATGAAGTTGCGGTGCTGCCAGACGACGACGGGGTCCTCGTTGAGGTCGGAGATGTCGGTGCGGCCGGTGCGCTTGGGGTTCTGCTTGAAGACCATCCAGCCGAGGTGGGAGTACATCAGGCCCTTGCGGACAGAGTAGGGGTCCTTGTTGGTGTCGGTGTAGCGGTGGTGGGCGCGGTGATCCCTCGACCACCAGCGGATGGATCCCTCCATGGCGCCGGCGCCGACGGCGGCGAGGTAGATCTTGAGAGGCAGAGTTGCCTTGTAGGAAGTGTGAGCCCACAGACGATGGTAGCCTGTTTTATTTCTCTCTTCCGTTAGAGACAATGTCCGGAACTTGCGAGGGGAAGCATGATGGCGAGAAAAGAAGGACTGCTGAGACGTTGCACGAGGGGGGGGGACAAGAACATACCAGCTGTGATGCCGAGGCCAGTGTTGAAGTAGTAGATGACGGAAAAGATTGCGGTGTAAAGCTTGAGAGGAACCCAGTAGGTGGAGATGAAGCCCATCATGGGAATGATGATGATGAAGGTGGTGTTGAGCCAGTTGATGTGCTTGTGCATGTTGGCCCAGGTCATGGGGGTGTCGGCGATGTGAACCTTTGCCGCGTAGCCGGAACCTCCTCCGCGAAGAGGTTTGTAGTCGGAAGTGCCATCAGGCGCCACACCCTTGGCCTGCTCGGCCGGGGGGACAGAAGTCGACATGACTGGCGGGGGTTGTGCGTGTCGTGTGCTCCTCCCTCAAGATACGTATATTTATATCTGATGATGATGATGTCTGTTGTTCCTCTTGTTGTTCTTGTTATTGTTGTCGGAGTCGACACTCGTACGTGTGTGTGCGTGTGTGCGTGTGTGCAGAAGGGGAGGAGAGGAGGATGAGGCGAAAGAGCGAAGTGAAGTGGAAGGAGTATGAGGAGAGAGAGAGGGAGGGAGGGAAGGAGAGGGGAAAGAGGAGGAAGAAGCAGTTAAAAAAGATGAGAGAATGTTAAGAAGAGGGAAAGAGACAGGAGAGCCCCAGAAAAAAAAGAGAGAGAGAGAGAGAGAGGATGGCGATGTACTCGTAGTCGGTGATGAATACTATGGGGAAGACAAGTTACTCGTGTGTACGTATCTTGGTAGTCAATGGCGGTTGTTGAGT